TACTTCTCTGCCTGCACAGAGCCCCTGCTACCTTTGCTCCTCAGCATCTGGCCTTCGTTCTCTCAAATTGTCTCCCAGGATTGTCCCTCATTGTGGGCCTATGGCTGGTTGAATGTAGGTCCCTTGACTTCAGTTGTTTCCGGTGGTCAGGTCCCAGGTTACCTCATTTTTAAACAATAGGATTCCTCTTGGAATGCCACTGGGCGTCAGCCCTCTGAGCCTTTGGAAACTCCTTCCTACTGCTGATCTGTCCTGGGTTTGAGGTTTGAGAGAGGCTTGTCCTGTGGGTAGGACTTACCTCGAGCTGAGACTTCTGCTCTCCTATGACTAGAGCTGTGTTTGACTTTATCACACATTTTTATTAACTTTTTTTTTGAAATTATAGTATAATTACATCATTTCTCCCTTTTTTTCCCCTCCAAACCCTCCTACATCTCTTCTTTCTGTCTCTCAAATTTAATGGCCTCTTTTTTTTTTAATTATTAATTGTTATAGATGGAGCTTCTGACCTTCCCAGGAGACACAATTTCATTGCAGACTCTCCAGTCCTTTGGTTTTACAGCCTTTCTACCCCACCCCCTCTCCAAAAAGTTCCTTGTGCCTTAGGTTGCAGGAGTTGTTTTATTGATGTTTCCCCTGGAACTTGCCTCCATAACTCTCCATTCTAATTGGTTGTGGTTTTCTGCATGGTCTGTTTCTGTTGAAAGAGAATTTCCTTGATGAGAATGAAGACTGTGCTTGTCTCTGAGTGTAAGGACAAACATTGGGACTGGAGTTGAGGCTTATGCTGTTAGTAAGTTGGTGGGCGTAGGTTCCTTTCAAGATCCCTTACTTCACTTGTCCTGGGTACTTGACTGGGTTTCTAGTAAGTACCAGGCATGATTCCCATCTTGTTGAACAGGTCTTAAGTCCAGTGAAAGAGCTTTTGGTTACTGTCAAGGTATGTGGTCACTGCAGCACCCTTAGGACCAAGGTATACGGTCACTGCAGCACCCTTAGAAAGATTTTTGTGTTGTGCTTGTTGTTAATAGGTGACATGGCTGGATAGAACTGTTGGTTGTTTCCCTTCTTTGAAAGCTTGCATGGTGCCTTCTCGTACTATGAAATATGGAAACTAGTCCTTAAAAGGGAGGGCATATAGGTCAGTTCCAGCTCAGGGGCCTCTGGGGCCTGTGTTTGAAATGCATGGTGTTTTCAGCAATAGGGACTGACTTTCCACTTTGGGGTGGGGAGGGGCAACTGAGGGCAATAGAATAGCAATACCTGTAATGCGTTGTTTTGCCTTCCTCTTTCCTTCTCTCTTGTCCCCCTGTTGCCCCCATCCCCATACTCTAGCAACAGTCCCTGTCTACTTTCCTGGTTTCTGCAGTAGAGTAGCTCCAGGATATATACTCAGCTGAAGATTTGGAGCTAGGAACCTCTGATGAGAGGATCCATATGTTTTGTTTCTGGGTCTGGGTTACCTCACTCAGCATGATTTTTTTTCTAGTTCCACCCATTTACCTGCAAAGTTTATGATTTCAATTTCCTTTATGGCTGAATAGTATCCATTACTGTATATGTACCATGTTTTCATTATCCGTTCTAGGTTGTTCCCATTCCCTAGCTATGAATAGAGTAGCAGTGAACATGGCTGAGCAAGTGTCTGGACTAGGATGTTAAGTCCTTTGAGCATAGTATGCCACGGAGTGCTGTGGCTGGGTCATAGTGTCAGTACCTTTTGATAATTGTCCAAACTGTTTTCTGTAGTGACTGTACCAGTTTGCAATCCTATCAGCAATGGATGTGGGTTCTCTTTCTTTCCGTGGCATTTGTTGTAGAGTTTTTTGTTGACCTTTGCCATACTGGTGTATGATGAAATCTCAAAGTTGTTTTGATTTATATTTCCCTAAATTGCTAGGGACAATGAACATTTTTTTTACATATGTCTTAGTAAGTTATTTTTTAAATTCTTCTGAGAACTGTTTACGTCATTTTGTGAATGGGTCATTTGGTAATGGCTTGTTTGTTTCTTTCCTTTTCGTATGTTCTGGATTTTAATGTCAGATGTCTCACTGATGAAGGTTCTCTCCCATTCTGTAGGCTTTCTCTTCACCTCACTGGGGATGTCTCTTTATCTGTGCCGAAGCTTTTTAGGTTTTACCAACTTCCACTTGTCAATAATTGTTAGCTTTAAATTTGGGGCAAGTAGAGTCCTACTTCCCACACCTCAGTCATTTGGCGTTCTGCCTGTTTTCTCCTATAGTAGCTTCAGTGTTTCAGGCTTTACTTTAGGTCTTTGGTCCATTTAGAGTTAGCCTTTTATGCAAGATGATGCATACTGGATTAATTTCATTCTTCTATACATGGACATAAGTTTTTCCCAGCACTGTTTATTGAAGTTGCTTTCTTTTCTCTAGCCTGTGTTTCTGGCATCTTTGTCACAGAAATGGCTGATGTCATGTGTACTCATATTTGGGTCTTTGATTATTGTTCGAATGGTCAACACATCTGTTCTTGTGCCAGTTCCATATTTGGGTTTGGGGGTTTGTTTTTGTTTCTCCCCCCCTTTTTTTGGACTGGGTCTGTCTATGTAGTCATGGTAGTTCTGGAACTCTCTGTGTGGTCCAAGCTGACCTCAGATTCACAGAGATTGGCCTGCCCCTGCCTCCCAAATACTGGGACAAAAATGTGTGCCACTATGTACAGCTCATGCTATTTTTATTACTCTGGCTCTGTAATATATTTTAAGATCTGGAATGGTGACCTGACCCCCCCCCAGCATTTTTAATTTGGCTCAGATTGTTTTGGCTGTCTGAGGTCTTTTGTGGTTGCACCTGAATTTTAGGGTAATTTGTTTGTTTGTTTCTATTTTCTGTTCATCACACTTTTTAAATGCTGTTAATCGGGTAGTTATAAAATAATGTTTTATTATCGTTTTGATTGTATATTTTTCTGTCATTAGACTATTAATGGTTCATGTTATTATAAGCATCGCCCTTTTTCTTGTCTTTCATTCTTTTTAAATTAGGGGTCTTCTTTTGATCTGTGGATCTGGAGGATCTGTCATCTCCTGTCATCTTTAAAATCACCTCATGCTGTTGTTCATTATGGTCTTTAGACTCCCAGGCTCAGACTGTGTATCTTAACCCTAGTTCCTGGGTGCAAACGACAAGGCTCTAGAGCAGTGGTTCTCAACCTTCTAATGCTATGAGCCTCATGGTGTGCTGACCCCCAACCATAATATTATTTTGTGACTACTACTTCATAATTTTGCTACTGTTATGAATCATAATATAAATATCTGATATGCAACCCCTCTGGATGGGTTGTTTGACCCCTCCAGAGGATCCTGACCCACAGGTTGAGAACTGCTGCTTTCGTGATCATGATTCATTTGAGTAGCATGTTTTTATTATGATTTATTTCTTTGTTTTTATATCCTAACCACAAGTTCCCCACCGCCCCTCCCCACAGTCCACTCCTCCGCCATTGAGAAGCATGATTTTCCCTAGCTATTCTGTTGCTGTGAAGAGACAAGGGCAACTCTCTTAAAAGGAAACAAACAGTTCAGTGGGGGCTTGTTTATAGTGTCAGAGATTAGTCCTAATTATCACAAGCTCCAAAAAGGCCACACCTCCTAATACTTGTAATCTTTTCAAACAGTTCCACTCCTTGGTGACTAAGTTCAATTATGGGCCATTCTCATTCAAACCACCACACCATCACATCCATTAAACTGCTCTGCTCCCTTCTGAGCGCAGCTCTGGGATGCAAGTTCATCTTGAGTTTGAGGCCAGTTGTAGCTATGTAGTGAGACCCTGCCTCAAAATAAATACAGTTACCACGTTGGTTTTAGAATCTCCCGTGACCAATGCGAATCCTATGTATATGTTGTTCCTTCTGGGTCCTTGCTTAATGACCATACGAGATTCTAGTCTGTTCTTGGAACAAAATTTTGAATTTTTAACAAATTGCAATAATTTAGAATATAGCTTATAAAGACAGTTTTTATTACTCTTATAGAAAGTAATCACTGCACAACAAAGAAAGAGTTAGACACTGGAGGCTCATAGGAATATAGATTTTTACTTTTGAAAGTTATTTTTGGTGAATCTCATTTCAGAAGAAAGTTGTAATCTCATTTCAGAAGAAAGTTGTAATGGCTACTGATAAGAGCAGAGTGATCGCGGCAGGCTAGCTGCTGATCCTGTGAATGTGGTGACTGACATGAAAATTTAGTAGTTCTGAAGTGCGCTCGTCTGAAGCCCCTCCCATTGAGGTGGGGGATGAGTGCATCTCTTTCAATTACTATTTTCCAAGCACAGTGGTAGGTGTTGCCTTGTAGAGTGTTTGGGGAAACAGAAGGCTACACCTTCAGCTTTCAAGGAGTTGGCCTCATCCGTGCTGGGAACCATCCCAGTGATAAGTATTCCCGTGAGCACTGAGGTGCCACCTCTAAAATTTCTAAATTGTAAACCTCCAAAAGAACTGTAGAGTTGCCCTCTTAGTACAGTCTGTCAAGCAGGCAATTAGGGAACCTACCCTAAAAATGTAAACTCCTGCAAGAGCTCGTTTTTAAGACACAGTATGGGTAAAGAAAGACTGAACATGATTTGACCTAAACTGTGTAGGCATTTTAAACTGAAAATTGGAATTAAAATGTGTTTCACTTTGCTTAAATTTGCTCTGTGCTTACTGAATACTCAGATACCTCTAAAGCAATCACTTTTTCCCTCTTTAATTTAAAAGTATTGTGTTCTATGGGAAAGAAACTGTACTATTTAAAAAAAGGTATTTGGATAAGTGCCATTTATGTAATGTCAAGCAAGTCTTATTAAGAAATTAGTTAAGGAGTGGAGAAAAATGTACAGCTCAATAAAAGAAAAGAAATGAAATTAGAGTACATGGCTGTGTGGCAGGACTATCTCACTGGTGTTGCCCTACTGGTACACATAAGGGCTCATATACCATAGTATTCTAGAGATGCACATTAAAGTCCTTATGAACTTGGTTTCTAGGTCTCACGCTGTTGCATGTGTCAATCAGTTCATCATCAGTCGGACTCAAGCACTTATGCTACATATTGATTCTTTCATTGAGGTAAGATTCACCACTGCCCATGTAAGACTACCCTGGGGCTGTGGGTTCATTTATATACCTAGTAATTTACAATGCAAAAAATAGCTGTTATTGCTGGCGGTATTAAAATTGGATACAATCTGATGAGTTTTTCCTTACTGGAAATAAAGGCAGTCTGTATGTGATAGAACATTGGAGTGGTGGTGCAGACACTACTCACGGAGGAAGTATATGTAGTTAGTTCTGCTTACTAGCTTGACTACTTAAAGAATTCTTCCTCAATAGACCATTCAAATTGTATGTGCAAATTGATTTCCCAGCTTGTGAGTAGTATTTGAAGCAAGTAAATACAAAACAGTAAGATTGATGAAGTTAAGAATCCAAAAGGCACTTAGTAAAAGAACAGCTATGTAATTGTTGACCTTGTGCCCGCCCGCCGTGCATTACTACCGTGTGACCCTAACTTTCCTCAGTGTATAGGCCAGATCTTTAGGTTACAGGCCAACCAGGGGGCACTAGCTACTGTTCTCATCTTAAAAGTTGGCTTACTCTTAGAGTAAAAACTTGTTGACCTAGGATTCTATGTAAGCCAGTTTCAAATCCCTTCTCTGAATGGCATGTTTTTAAACCCCTACTGAAGTTTACTTATTTATCTGTGAAAATGAGTAAATAGCATATGTTGTGACAATTGGATATGTCACCACAGCCTTGTGGTCTATTCATCCCCCCCTCCCCCCCCGCCATACACTCACACACTCTTAACCTTGTAGAATTTGTGAGAAACATAGCATTGATTACCTTGATTACTGTCTGCTTCACTAGTTTAGGGTTAAGTTGTTAACCTGCTTCTGCTGCTGCTCCATGAGAGCATACCTTTGGTCTCCCCGTGTATTTATCTCCATCACTCACATGAATGTAAGCTACACACAAAAACCATAACTGTGTGTAGTCTCTCGTTAAGATTGACATTTTAGGCCTGGAGAGATGTCTCAGTGGTTAAGAACATGTACCATATTCATCTAGAGGACCTGAGTTCAATTCCCAGTGCCCACATCAGATGACTCACAACCATCTGTAACTCCTGCTCCAAGGGATAACACCTTCTTGACCTCTATGGGCACCTGTATTTACATGCACCCCTACCCCCCACCTAATTAAAGATGTGGGTTTTTCCCCCCGGACAAGGTTAATTAAACACACAAACATAATTAAAAGAAATAATTATATAATTGCATTTTAGTCTGGCATTATGGTGCTTTAATCCCAGCACTTAGGAGGCAAAGGCAAGTGAATCTCTGTGAGTTCCAGGACAGCCTCATCTACATAGAGAGTTCCAGAACAGTCAGCAATATATATACAGAGAGACTTTGTCTCAGAAAATCAAAAAGAAAGACTTTTATCTTTATATCTCAGTCATGGTCTTTGGTAGTTGTCACTTAGCAGTTGGTTGTCTGTTTTATCAATTGTCCGTGAGGCAGTTCTGGGGTTGGGAGAATGTTTGTTTGTTGGATTGGATATTTGAAGCAGAATCTTAGGTGTCCCGTTCTGGCCTTGAACTTTAGGGTCTTCTTGTCTTCAGCTGTCAGGCGTTATTCAGTCTTTTTGTAGGTCTGTTAAAGTATGGGTAAAATTGTCTTTTTTCTACAACAGAACCTCTTTGCACTGGCTGGTGATGAGGAAGCAGAGGTGCGGAAAAATGTGTGCCGGGCACTGGTGATGCTGCTGGAAGTCCGGATGGATCGCCTGCTTCCTCATATGCATAACATAGTCGAGGTAACCCGAGCCGGGCAGACCCCAGAGAAGTGTCGGCACAAAATGTAATAATTGTAATAGTGGATAGAGTTTTCTGAATTATATAATACCTTTGAGAAGAGGGGCAAAAAATAGATATGATGGTTGTTTTTAAATCCTCTTGGTGATTTGTCTCTTGTGAGATTTGAGATGTTTATGGGAGAAGTTTTTTAAACAGAGATAGGTTTAATTGTAACTGCTAGGAAATTCTCATGGTATAGATCAACTTATGGGTGTTTGGGGGATATTAGGTGACATCAATCTTAAATTGATGGAACTAGAATTAAAAATTGAGTTTTTTTTTCACATTATCAACAAGATTTGTCTGATTCAAGCCGTCTTCAGTAGAGGTAGGGTCACACTTTCCCATATGATTTCATATTGCTGAATGTAATCATACTTATTTATTACATGGCTCTCCGGGTGCTTTAAGCAGTATATTGTCCAGAGCCTTACGTCTGCTTCCAGTTTTATCTTGGGAGGTGAGAGTTACAGTGTGTTAGACTCTGGAGAGATGGTTCAGTAGTTAACAGTGCTTGTTGCTCTTGAAGAGGTTGTGGTTTCATCTCTAGCGTTGGAAGCTTACAGCTGCAGCTGCTTGTAGTTCTGGCTCAAAAAGATCCACTCCTTCTGGCTTCAGTGGACAGTTCGTACACAAGGTGCACACTTACAGACAGGCAGGCACACACAGAACATATAAACATGATGCCATTGAGTAACTTTTGTTTGTTGTTTTCGAAATGTGTTAGAAAATGCTGGCTCAGCAGTGTGTGTGTGTGTGTGTGTGTGTGTGTGTGTGTGTGTATAGAGAGAGAGAGAGCATCTTCTTTTGTCAGAAGTATAGAAATGGTGTCTTGAGTCTGTTTTGTCTATGAAGTCACCTAAGATTAGTTTTGAAAGGTTAGATGAAGCTAATCAGAACATTTAAAATTTTATCATTTGGTGTAAGTCACAGCAGGGGAGCCTGATATAGTGTTACATAGCATTTTCTTCAGCAGTACTCAAAGCCTAGTAGTATTTGACGTGTAGTGGAGTAGTGACAGTTGCCATATTTTTTCGTAACAGTCTGTTCAGAAGCGAGAGTGTACTAGAAATTTGTCGATTGACTTTGGTTCCAGTCCTAGGTATACTGGGAAATGCCCTGTGTGAATTCAGTTCGATGTGTTCAGAGTACGCAATTGTAGTTAGGGTGTTCGAAGTGTGGTGTGTGCACCCCTTATCCCTCACTTAGGAGGCAGAAGGGGAATCCTAAGTGTGAGGCTGTATTTGCTACATAGTGAGCTCTAGGACAGCCGGGGATCCATGCTGATCCACCTTGTCTTCTGAAGACAAAAACAAAAAGGGGAAAGAAATCTAACTTTCTTTTCCCAAAATTAAAAAAGATTTACATATATCACTTTGAATATGGAGAAAAGTCTGTCTACTAGAGACAACTTGTTATTTTTAAATTCTTCATTTCAAGGAAGATACAGAGTTCTTTTTTCCCCTCTGATTAACATTGACATGTCAGAAAGGTCAGCAGCTTCCCTGTATACAGGATCAGTAATGTGCACAAATGAGAACTTCATTCTTAAGTTTAGTCTTGTTTTAAAGGCACATAGGGAGCTCTAAAAGAGAGACGTACAGGTTGGAAACCAGGATTTGCAGAATGTAGGATCAGGACGAAATTCCTATTTGCTGTCCAGAATAAAATGACGAGTAGTGTGATTCCCTTCACAGTACATGCTGCAAAGGACACAAGACCAAGATGAGAACGTGGCTTTGGAGGCCTGTGAATTCTGGCTGACTTTGGCTGAACAGCCAATATGCAAAGATGTGCTTGTGAGGCATCTGCCTAAGTAAGTGTCCCGCTTCCAAGTGCCGCTAGTCCTCAGGACACTCAAAATGCATTCTCTCACCATGGAGATGTTGGATTTCATTATTGATAGAGTAGATTTTCACGATTACCTTTTTTTAAACTACATAAAAATAATTTATTCATGTGTTGGGGGGTGGATTCAGAGGTACCAAAACAGGCACTTGGAGATCAGAGGACAAACCCTACCTTTACAGATAAAGCATAATTATAGTGTTTAGTTACTATTGGTCTTCTATTTTGGAACTTTTGACCATGAATGTTTGACTGACCAATATTTCTTAAACCTGCCCTGTTCATATTCCTTGAATTAATTGGAGCAGCAATATATCACAGGATATGCTCACAGACTATGTTGCCACTGTTATCATTGGTTTGGTGTGCATGAGGTTGTTAAGACAACTTAATACTCTGAATCTTTAGGTCTGTGTTTCATTAATTCTCTCTAGGTTGATTCCTGTGTTAGTGAATGGCATGAAGTATTCAGATATAGATATTATTCTGCTTAAGGTAAGTAAACCATCATTTGATTAGGGAACATAATATCTATATTGATAAAGTTTTGAATTTGATCATTAGGGCATTTATTTAAGATAGACCCTGTGTAAGGGCTTTCTATTACCTATAATAGGCTACAGATGTTCAAAGTGTAACAAACTAAATTTGTTACCTTAATTGATAGTGACATTGGTGCTCTCCTTAATTTGCCTTTGATCAAAGCTATTTGAGGTTTATTTTTAGTTTGTAATTTGTTTGTTTAGACCGTCTTACTCTCTCTGGGTTTATTTTAAATACACTGATCTGAATTTAATTTGGGTTACTCTTATTGCACCAACTAATAGTAGAAAGGGCCTATAACCTAGCAGGTGTCATATGCCCATTGTCCCTTTCACGGGGACCTGTTTACTACAGAGAGAAGTAGTTTTCTCTCAGGAAATACACTCCAGAATCCTGTACATCCATATGATGCTCTGGTCCCTTTACTTATGTAGGCATTAATAGCTTAAAATGGAGTAGCCACTGAAGGCTTCTGTTTAAATAACAACAGGGCGATGTGGAAGAAGATGAAACAATCCCTGATAGTGAGCAGGATATAAGGCCACGGTTTCATCGCTCAAGGACAGTAGCTCAGCAGCATGAGGAGGATGGGATTGAAGAGGAAGATGACGATGACGATGAAATTGATGATGATGATACAATTTCTGACTGGAATCTGAGTAAGTGGGATAGGTAAAGCACAGTTGTTTTCTTGGACAACCTCTATTGTTGGTGTCTAACCCGGTTCTTAGGAAGCTGTGAGCAGACTCACAAGTTTGATTATGTCAGCCTGAACTATGTAGTAAGATCTTTGTCAAGAAAATAAATAATAATACAGTGAGTTTTATTTGTACATCTGTCCAGCCATCACCATGATCATTAATGTGAGCTATTTCTATTACCTCCATCCCCATAGCCATCAGTCTATGTCAGTCTAAGGATTTGCTACTTGTAAACAGCCCTTCCTAACCAGCTTTTACTTGGCATCCATGTTGTAGCATGTATCCATAGTTTTTCCCTTTCGTCAGTTGGTGAACTTTGTGTGGATGTGTTTTCAGGTCTGTGGGCAGATGTATCCAGCATAAGCTTGCTTGCTTGCTTGTCATGGCCATCTATGACTGGAAGAGGGATGTAATGTGTCCCTACAAAGGGAAAATCCAAGACTTTAATCCAGTGCAAGCAAACAAGCTGCTACTCTTCAATTAAGAGTGTGGACCAGAGGGCTGGAGAGATGGCTCAGCAGATAAGAAAGTTTACTGCTCTTGCAGAGGACTGGGGTTCAAGTCCCGGTACTCACATGGTAGCTCACAACCTACCATAACTGCAGATTTAGGGAATCTGCTGCCCTCTTCTTGCCTCCTCAGGCATCAGTCACTTGATGTAAAGACAGAACAAGGGAGAACACCCAAACTAAACAACAACAAAAACTTAAAATAGAATGTGGGTCAGAAAAAAAAAAACAACTATAGCCGGGTGTTGGTGGTGCACGCCTTTAATCCCAGCACTCGGGAGGCAGAGGCAGGCCAATCTCTGAGCTCGAGGCCAGCCTGGTCTAGAAGAGCTAGTTCCAGGACAGGCTCTAAAGCTACAGAGAAACCCTGTCACGAAAATATATATATATATATATATTTGATTTTAAATGATCTACTATTAGAAATGTTATGTAGAAAACTGGAGAGGTGGCTCAGAGGTTAACAACTCTGGTTGCTTTTTCAGAGATCTGAGTTCAATTCCCAGCAAACCCGTGGTGGCTCGCAACATCTGTAATGAGATCTGATTCCCTTTTCTGGCCTGCAGGCATACATGCTGACAGAATGCTGTATACATAATAAGTAAATAAATCTTTTAGAAAGAAAGAAATACTAAGTAGAGCTAAGCTGGTCTTTTGTTGCTTGTTTTGTTTTTGAGATGGGGTCTTGTAGCCCTCGCTGACCTAGAACTCAGTATCTGACAGATTGGCCTACCACTACCGGCCTGAGTAGAATTCAGTTTTAAGTGTGATTTTTTTTCTTTAGCTTTTTAGTCTGCTTGTTTGCTTTAAAGAGATCACATTCTACCACAGAATTTTAATAACCGTGCATGGCATTCTGGGAGCGCATTAGATTGAATAGAGCATTAGATTTTCCCACAAAGATAGAAGAATCTGTAATCAAGTACAGAAGAAAATATCTTAATACATTTGCTAATTCTGTCAACAAAAATGTATTTCCTTAGGAAAATGTTCTGCTGCTGCTCTAGATGTTCTTGCAAATGTTTATCGTGATGAACTCTTGCCACACATTTTGCCACTTTTGAAAGAGTTGCTTTTCCATCATGAATGGGTTGTTAAAGAATCAGGCATCTTGGTTTTAGGAGCAATTGCTGAAGGTAAGTCCAATTGCAAAGAAAGTTCTTAATAGATTTTAATAAGGCTAGGTTACTTTAAGCAGTCGTTAACTTAGTAAGCAGAGACTTCACTCTGAACTCATATACTACACGGCTCTGCTTGCAAGGCCAGTGTGTGGTGGACGGGACTGTGATCTCTACTGACCTTAAAAGAGATGACTGAATTCAGAAACCACCTTACTTTAGTAAGTTCCTGTTAGGTACCACTAAGAAGAAATCTGATGTCTGAGGGCTGTTGCTCTGGAAATAGCTTTATTCCCCAGGTAAATCTAGGAAGTTTGGTAAGGCAAGAGTGTCACCATTCTCTATAAGAAGATTGGTTTTTTTGTTCTAAAAAAACATCATATTGAGTTAGGTAACCCAGACACAGAAAGATAAGTATAATATGTACTCATTCATAAATGGCTTTTAGACATAAAGCAAAGAAAAACCAGCCTACAATTCATAATCCCAGAGAACCTAGACAACAATAAGGACCCAAAGAGAGACATACATGGATCTAATCTATATGGAAAGTAGAAAAAACAAGATCTCCTGAGTAAATTGGGAACATGAGGACATTGAAGGGGAGGGGAGAGGCAGGGAGGGGAGTGGAGAAAAATAATTAATAATAACAATTTTAAAAAGACAAAGTACAAGGCTGGAGAGATGGCTCAGCGGTTAAGAGCATTGCCTGCTCTTCCAAAGGTCCTGAGTTCAATTCCCAGCAACCACATTGGTGGCTCACAACCATCTGTAATGAGGTCTGGTGCCCTCTTCTGGCCTTCAGGCAGAATATTGTATACATAATTAATAAATAAATAAATAAAAGACAAAGTACAAATACATATATTCAGGTAAGTCATCCTTGCATTTAAAATAAATTAACAACAACAAAAAAAAAAGAAAACCAGAATTTTCATGACAAAAATTTAAATGTAATTATAGCCTCCTATAAGACATCTAGGAGCAACTAACTCTGATTTATTATTCTAAATAATTTGGTATCAACTTTTCTATTGGTAGCACTGGAAATGTACTAAATTTTTCTTTGTGAATGCTTATGTTCTTTCTATATACAGTTGAGTTTAGCACTGCTTTGAAGGATTGCTGTTCTTTCCTAGGTTGCATGCAAGGCATGATTCCATACTTGCCTGAGCTCATTCCTCACCTTATTCAGTGCCTCTCTGACAAAAAGGCTCTTGTGCGGTCCATTACCTGCTGGACTCTTAGCCGCTATGCACACTGGGTAGTCAGCCAGCCACCAGACACATACCTGAAGCCATTAATGACAGAATTGCTGAAGCGTATCCTGGATAGCAACAAGAGAGTACAAGAAGCCGCTTGCAGGTGGGACAATGTGATTGTGAAAGTAAGAGCCTGGTTTTGAACCAGTAGTAGAATGTTGACGTTAAACCATTAAACATACAACAATGCAGTTATGATGGGAAATTAGTTTTCCTTGGTTCGGTTTTAATAGGACTGATTTGTAGCTCTGGAATATTTGCACAATGGCATATTTTACAATTTTTTTAGACTAGAAAATTTTTACTGATGGTTTTGTTAAAGTGTGACTTTTAGCTAAGCATAAGCCTTTGCTTTCTTCCTCATTCTGTCAGCTAAAGTGTTTGTGGGATCTCAAAGGAATAACAAAATTCTAGATCTTTAGTCTACAGATCCACTGCCAAAACTTGGCAGAATGTCCTACAGACTTCTGGTATGTCCACAGTGACATCATATGCTTAGTGAATCTTCCATAGCTGTTCTGTTGGATTTAGGGCACTCTTTTCTCACATCAAAACTATTTGCTTTCATCTTTACTAGTTTCTGTTTCCTGGAGCAAGGCTACCTGCCATTAAATTTATAACTCCAAGTAGTTTTTACCATTAACCCTTTTGTGGGTTTAGGGCTCAAACCTCAGATACTCAAATATGCCAGGCAAGTCATTTACCTGCCATTTCAGCTTATCATTAAGTGTTCTTGTATGGGTGATCTTTCATTAGCCTAAGACTTGCCTACTAAGCTCGACTGGGTTACCAAGTACCTTCCTAGATCTGGAATTACAAGAAGTCACTAATATGCCTGGTTTTATTTGTTTTAAATCTAGATTGTGGAACTTACACTCCAGATTGCTGCATTCCCAGCACTCTGTCAATATGAATAGTAAGCACCAAATAAACTTGTTGGTTGGATAAATACAAGGACCAGAAGTCTTAATGGTTTTAGATCTCACCACTGTAGCATATTAAGAAAAGAGGAGCCAGGCAGATCTCTGAATTCGAGGCCAACCTGATCTACAGAGTGAAATCCAGAACAGCCAGGGCTACACAGAGAGACCCTGTCTCAAAAAAAAAATTTTTAAAGGAAGAGGGCGAGCTGGATAGATTGCTTAACACTTAAGGTTTGTTCTCAGCAGCGCATGACAGTTCACCACCACCTGCAACTTCATTTTAGGGGATTAGATGTTTATAACTATCTTCAAGGACTCTCGCGTGCACGTGGTGTACATACAAATGCAGGCGTGTACACATAAAATATTTTTGTGAGAAAAAAATCATTAAAAACCAAAGTAAGCCTGTAGAATGAGGCAAGAAAAGTAAGCCTATAGAATGAGGCAAGGCTAGCCGGGCGATGGTGGCGCACGCCTTTAATCCCAGCACTCGGGAGGCAGAGGCAGGCGGATCTCTGTGAGTTCGAGACCAGCCTGGTCTACAGAGCGAGTTCCAGGACAGGCTCCAAAGCCACAGAGAAACCCTGTCTCGAAAAACAAAACAAAACAAAACAAAAAAAAAAAAAAAAAGAATGAGGCAAGGCTGTGCTCATGGTGTGATGTATAATCTGTGACAGGAGACTTCATCTCCTATGTGTTTCTCATTTCCATTGTAGTGCCTTCGCTACATTAGAAGAGGAGGCTTGTACAGAGCTTGTCCCGTACCTTGCTTATATACTCGATACCCTCGTCTTCGCCTTCAGTAAATACCAGCATAAGAACCTGCTCATTCTGTACGATGCCATTGGGACACTAGCAGATTCAGTGGGACATCATTTAAACAAGCCAGTAAGGATCTGAGGACGACTGCTATGGGGACAGTACAATAAGCTGCATAAATACATAGTGTGTGTTTCAAAATGAAAAGCCTGAGAAGTATGAACAGTTAGGTTTTACTACTGTGGGAATAGGGAATATAATTCTTAAGAAAGAGGTAGCAGTTGAAATAAGCTTATGGTTAGTATAGTAATAACATCTCATGAATACACTTCATAGTGTCTGGAGGAAAGGGATAAAAAAGAGTTTGTGCTCTACATTTACTTGCTTCCATTTAAGCACCCTTTAACATTGGCTTCTACCTTCTCTTCAGAGTATACCTGACATCAGGAGTCTACTATATAATATAAAAGTTAGAATGGGAATGGTAGGTGGACAATGCTGACGAGCACTAAAAGTGTCTTGTCTGTCATGGTGTAGCATATGAGGTGAGCTTTGAAGATGTTTTAAAATTTTTAATTTTTAACGTTTTAAAATTTTTAATATAGCTCAGTGTCCCTGCTGGAAATGATTTGATGAGATACATGGTCGCTGTAGGAAGAGCCTTAACTCACCCTTGTTTTAAATTACTCTCAGCCCTAGAGCCAGACAGTCTGTAGGTCTACTTTGGTGTTGGGTGGTTTGCTTAGTTAGTTGAGGGATAGGTTGTGTTTTACATCCTGTACCTCTTGTCTAACTATCATGAGCTCACTATAGAGCAACAACCATTATGGTATAGCCACAGCCAGACCTTCCCACCCCAAATAGTCTTATTACTTGGGAGGAAAACCTGGGATTTAGCAAGCTGTGGATTATGCTGGGTTTGGTGACAGACACTTGTAGTCCCAGCATTTGGGAGGCACAGGTAAATGGATCTCTGACTTTGAGGCCATCTTTGACCACACAGTGAATTCCAGGCAGGCCAGCCAGTACATGGTGAGACTGACTTAAAATAGAAAGCAGTGGTGGCTGGAGAGATGGTTTAGCACTTAGAGCACTGGCTGCTCTTCCAGAGGTCCTGAGTTCAATTCCCAACACGCACATGGTGGCTCACAACCATCTGTAATAGGATCTGATGCCCTCTGCTGGCCAGCAGAGCACTCATACATAAAATATTAATAAGTAAGTAAATAAATAAAAGAGAAAGAAACCCAAGTAGCAGATTTTAATGGAATGAGATACTTATATACATTTTGTTTTAGAAAATATGAAAGATTATTTTAAATCAGGGTCATATGAATTAAAAAGTGGAGATAGGATAGAAAAATATTTAAGGAAACTGTAAAGTAAAAACTGGGTCTTAAAAATAGGTTTGTAAAAGTTTAGCACAACTGCTCCAAATGAACTAGCGTGTTCCCGGGTGGTAGTGAAGCTCTGTGTTTGTTGTTCTGTAAACAGGAATATATTCAGATGCTAATGCCACCTCTGATCCAGAAATGGAACATGTTAAAGGATGAAGACAAAGATCTCTTCCCGTTGCTTGAGGTATGCTGAACTGGTGATGTTCGAATTCCTGCAGTGTAAACCCATCACAAATGTGTTCTGAACCAAAATGTGTGTGCTTGATAGAATGTCAATAAATTGTTTCTCAAAACAATTTCTGTTGAAATGCTGAATAATATTTATAGAACTTGTTTTTTGCAGCATTTTAAAGTTTGTTCTTTGACAGTTTCATACATGTGTGGACTGTATGGTCATGTTTTACCCACATTCCCTCTCCTAAAACTGCACCACTGTGTGTCCCTTCCACTTATTGTCGGTATTGTGTACACCGAGCTGGCCTTAGAGCTCTCCCTGCTCTGTCTCTCAGGTGCTGGGATTAAAGGAGTACATCACCATACCTGTTTTTTTTGTTTTGTTTTGTTTTTAAATAACTTACTGAGTCCAATTAATATTGTCTGTATGGGGCCATCTACCAGAGCAACCTACAAGCAGCCACAACTCTAAAGAAAAATTGATATTCTGTAGTTGGTAACTATTGTAGTTACCAACCAGTAGCTGTTCAACTAGGGACGGCCTTCGTAGCTCCTCCCCCATCTGTTCTAGAATATTAACTAGCCTTGACCTTATGACACAGAGTTCATTGTGGCCTTGTCATAGCCAGAAGACAGCGTCTCACAGCACTTCTCTGCATCTTCTGGCTCTTAGATTTTTTTTTTTTTTTTTTTTGGTTTTTCGAGACAGGGTTTCTCTGGCTTTGGAGCCTGTCCTGGAACTAGCTCTGTAGACCAGGCTGGTCTCGAACTCACAGAGATCCGCCTAGCTCTGCCCCCCGAGTGCTGGGATTAAAGGCGTGCGCCACCATCGCCAGGCTCTTAGATTTTTCTTAAACTCTTTTCCATGATGTTCCCTGAGCTTGGGGAAGGGAGTATGTCGATGTTTCATTTAGGGATGAACATTCAAAACTCAGTTATTCTCAACTCTGGACTGCTTCACAATGCAGAAAGAAGCTTCTCTGACCAAGGTTAAACTTACGGTTAATCTATGACTATAAGTATAAATATTTAGAAAAACATTTGACAACATATCACTTAGCAAAAACAATCATAGTTTAACTCCCAGAGTCTGACCACCTCAACCATGAACTTTGACTAGGTTTACAGTGCCAAGTATGAGTTCTCTACCGTGGACTAGGCCTTTGGTTAAATTACAGACTGGTTGGTTGCTCTGTAATAGTCTTGCCACTCCTGTACCATAGGCACAGCAGTCTACTTGGCAGACTCTCTTCCTCACTCCGAAATGTGTTCTCATGCTCGGGTTGTCTGTCATGTTTGTGTATCTTACACATACCCTATCGACCCTCTTTATAAATCACACTTAGATTGCTTGTTATTTCTGATATAATGGAAGTTTAATTTTCTTCTGATTGGCTGACAACAAAAGAAGTTAGAAAAGGTATGATAGCATCGTAGAACGGATACATAAACAGCTCAGACTTTTTTGCCTAATTTAAAGCATTTATAATCTTTTCTATAATCTGAAAACTTAATGTGTCTACTTGATTCTTTCTAGTGCCTCTCATCCGTTGCCACAGCCTTGCAGTCTGGCTTTCTTCCCTATTGTGAACCTGTGTATCAGCGTTGTGTAAACCTAGTGCAGAAGACTCTAGCACAAGCCATGGTATATATATATATATATGGTTTTTTTTTCTTTCTTTCTGAGTATCATAATTTTAGAGATAGGTATACACACTTTTTCATTGTGCAACAGCAAAGACAGTGTGTTTAATTTCAGCTAAACAATGCTCAACCAGAACAATATGAAGCTCCAGATAAAGATTTTATGATTGTGGCTCTTGACTTACTCAGTGGCCTGGCTGAAGGGCTGGGAGGCAACATCGAACAACTGGTAGCCCGAAGTAACATCCTAACACTAATGTATCAATGCATGCAGGTAAGATTTGTAAGAGTGAACGATTTGGAACCTGCTTCTTTGTGTTATAAGAAGTTAATTTCTCCTTATTTCTTGTAGGATAAAATGCCCGAAGTTCGGCAGAGTTCTTTCGCCTTATTAGGTGATCTGACTAAAGCTTGTTTTCAGCATGTTAAGCCCTGTATAGGTATGAATGTTTTCTTTTTTGGGTGTGGACTAGCATATCTGTCTTAATTGTATTTAAAAACAAATTTCACAGAACAGAATATAACAATCTCATTTGATAGGAATATACTTTCCCCTGTTTTCTTTTGCTTTTTTTTTTTTTCCTCTTTTTGTCTCATTTGTAGCTTTTACTGGCCTAGAACTTACAGAGATACACCTGCTCTGCCTCCCAGTGCTGGGATTAAAAGTTGTGTACCACCACACTCTGTAGAAATATGCTTTTTGAATCAGCTATTTATGGATTTTAAGTAATTTCAGCTATCATATGTTAAGTCATTGTGGTTTTGGTTTAATTCTCTATTATATATAAGTATATATTTTTATTTGTTTTGATCTTTGAGACAGGGTTTTTCTGTGTAGCCCTGGCTGTCCTGGAACTCACTCTGTAGACCAGGCTGCCCCCAAACTCAGAGATCTGCCTGCCTCTGTCTCCTGAGTATTAGGATTAAATGCATGCAGCTCGACTCCCTTCTTCTAAATTATAAAACATTTATTATGTACACAGTGTTTTACCTGCATGTGTCCCTGCAGGCCAGAAGATGGCACCAGATCTCATAACAGGTGGTTGTGAGCTACCATGTTGTTGCTGGGAATTGAACTCAGGATCTCTGGAAGAACAGTCAGTGCTTTTAACCACTGATCCATCTCTCCAGGCCCTATAAAACATTCATATGAGATGCTGTTCATACAAGTGTAACAAAGCTGTGTTGTCAGTGCATGTTAAACCATGTTTCCCATGCATTGCTGTCCATAGTCACAAAGACCATGGAATTTTTTTTTCTTTGAGACAGGGTTTCTCTGTAGCTTTAGAGCCTGTCCTGGAACTAGCTCTTGTAGACCAGGCTGGCCTCGAATGTCTAGATCCACCTGCCTCTGCCTCCCGACTGCTGGGATTAAAGGCATGCGCCACCACCGCCCAGCTGACCATGGATATTTTTAAATTCAGTATTTCAGAACCTGTTGCATGGAGAGGGGTCCCTTTGTTTGTCCCAACTGCCTAGCTAGCTTACACCCAAAATAACCACACAGAAACTGTATTCATTTAAACACTGCCTGGTCCATTTGCTCTAACTTCTTGTTGGCTAATACTTACATCTTAATTTAACTCATTTATATTAATCTGTGTATTGCCATATGACTGGCTTGCTGGCAAGATTCTACCAGCGTCCATATCATGCAGGAGATCCATGGCATCTGCCACTCTGTCCTTACCAGCATTCTGTTCTGTCTACTCCGCCTGTCTATGTTCTGTCCTATCAACTGGGCCAAGGCAGTTTCTTTATTCAACCAATGAAAGCAACACATAAACAGAAGGACTTTACATCAAGAACCTATCTCTAAATCTCTTTAATTGTTCTTTATTGCTAAAGGGATCTGAGATTTTGTCTTGAACTTACTGATGTTCTTAGTGTACTGACCACACTTCTGGTGTTGTCTAACATGCACTCCATTCCTCTGTATTAGCCATCAGCTAGGACATAGGTCCAGAAGCCAAACTTCATTTCAGTTCCAGGGTTTGGAGTGTAGGCTTGTGGGGTTTCTTGTTTTTATAGATGGTTTTATATGCTTTTTTAGTTTAAAGATTATTTGTATTTATGTTCATGTGTCAGTGCAGTTAAGCATTATGTGCATATACATCCAGGGAGGTCTGAGGGCACCTGGATCTTCTGTAGCTAGAGTTAGACCATTTGAGCCAACTAATGTGGCTGCTTGGAACCGAATCTGGATTCTTTGGAAGAGTAGCAAGTTCTTTAAACCACTAAGCTATCTCTTTGTTCCCAGTTTTGTATACTACTTCAGAAGGTAACTGGAGACTAGTTGTCCCTCTTTTTTTGTTAATGCTTCCAACTATGGTGGTTATTAAAGAGATAGTGGCTCTCACCCTGGAAGAGTTTTGCTGTCTGGGAGTGTTTATGGTATCTAAAGACACTGTTTAGCTTAAGTTAGTATGACTGGTATTCATGGGTATAGACATACACATTTCAGGCAAAACACCCATACACATATAAGCTAAAAGTAAATGTAGGGGAGCTGCTACCTGAAGTGTACTTAAGCCTTATATGAAAATTCAGTAGTCAGATATTATCTCTTGTAGTTTTTAAAAAATACTAAAACTCCTTTAAAGAAATATTTTTGCATATTTTTTATCAGTTTTAGTATTGCCACTATAAAGTTTCTTTCATGATAAAACTTATTTTTGCCTGGATTTCCTTTAAAAGTAAGAAGTCTGTTGACAGGTTTACCACATAGCCTTATTTTATTATTTTGTTGTTATTTTTGTTTTTCCCAGCTGATTTCATGCCAATATTGGGAACAAATCTAAATCCAGAGTTTATTTCAGTCTGCAACAATGCCACCTGGGCGATTGGGGAAATATCGATTCAAATGGGTAAGGTTATTTACCTCTGAGCTATGCATCATCCATAGGTGCCTTAATCGTTGTCATCAGTGTTCTGTGAGAGATCGGAGGGAGGAGGACTAGCTTGTGTCACAGTTATGAAGGAAGGAAAATGTTTTGTGATGATGTCTTAACATTTATTTCTTCTTATTCTCTCTCTCTGTGGTATGACCTAGGTATAGAGATGCAGCCTTATATTCCTATGGTGTTACACCAGCTTGTAGAAATCATTAACAGACCCAACACACCAAAGACGCTGTTAGAGAACACAGGTACCATATGAATGAAATGTTATGGTGAAGAGAAAATGATTTGCTTCTTAAGTTTAAATCAAGATGCGTAGAGAAACCAAAGCAAAGCTAACTTTGAAAATCCAGCTACTTGTTATTATCATGAGTTTGAATTCTTTGTAACAGTGTCCTAGTTTAGCTATGTTCCATAGCCAGTTTATAGGGACATTGAACGAACATTTTTCTACATATTCTCAAGTTCACTACCCTCTAATATGTATTCTTGCTAAGATCATTGTTGAGTCATATGAATTTTTTACTGTAAATTCAGAAAGTAACTGGGAAAAGTAAAGACATTTACATATAGCCAAAAATAGATTATAATTCAGCAACTAATTGGCTCAAAATATCATATATATTTTGTATTTTATCCTGAAACTTTTTTAAATCAGGGACTTAAGCAGTTCCTAGTGGGGTTTTTATTTTAGAGACTGTTTCTCTTCTGCATTTATATAAAGCATGTTGGTGTTAAAGAATGCCTTCCATACAATAGCACACATAGGGTGATTACGTCTCTTTTCTTCCACGCTCTCAGACAGTTGCTAATGAATATTTCAGCTTCGTTTCTGTTCAGGCACATCTTTCTTTATATATTGAGGTAACAATTCTAGCAGTTTATTCATAGTCAATGGGAGTCCTAATCACTATAGTAAGAGAAAGATTAAAATAAGGTCTTCCGAATATGAAAGTTTTCCCAGGCATTTTAATTTGGTATTTTTGAATTGCATAGTTTTACCTTCATGTAATTGAAGTTTGTAATGTTTATTGGTATGGAAGGAAATCTTTTGATTATGGAGCAGTTATCTGGCTGATTGACTGTATGGGTACTGTTTAGTTTAAAGTACATTAGATTTTCTTGCTGAAAAGTTTAACAGTCTATGTATAGAATGATTTTGAAATATTGGCAGATTTTTTTGTCTTCCTAGAATGCAGTACCTATACATGGCATTCAGAATGGAAACACTTGGTTATTATAAGAATGTCATTGACCCTAAAGACAAATTTTCTATTTATCTTTAAATGTGAATGCATAACTACAAATAAATGTTGAGTGTAATGTATACTGAAGTTTCTTGTGGGATATCAGCTGGCGGATGTCTTCCTTTAAAAAAATTGGCTTTGTTTATCAGATTATACTCCTGGCATGGCAATACCTAAGTAATGATAATGCCATTCAGGTTGATTAACTGAGTCAGTATGAGAACCACACAGGATTCGTTAAGTTTATTTTGACACAAGTGGCTATGTAAATTACTGACTTCATTCCTTACCCAAAAGAATGGGTTTTAAACTATTAAAATCACCATATGTTTTAGCAACTTACCATATTCTCAATATCTTCTGAGGCCAATTCCTTAGTGTGTTGTATTTGCTTTTTCCAACTAGTATATCCTACACTGAACTTTTTCAATGGACCATCATCTGCTTTCTCGCATGTTTCATTGGATTGTTCATACTTGCCTGTTTAATGAGAATGTTGCATAGTTTTGTGTCTTTTGAACATAGGTTTTCTTTCTCTTGCTTCATATGAATCTGCTGAATTTTAGTATTATCTGTGTAGTTTGCTTCAAGTAATCCTTAAACATTTTTCTTTACCCTCCCAACCCCACCCTTTTTTATGAAAGGTTAACCTGTAAGTTTTTGAGAGAACACCATTAAAGCACCTCATGGTTTGTTTTCTGTGTGTATATTTACCCGTTGTGTATGAATGTATTTATATGTATGTACCTTTGAACTGCAAGATGCAGTTCCGATTGCAGCTCTCTTAGTTCTTTGTACATTTATGGAATTCCTGAATTTTGATGGAGAATGTTTGCCCACTACAAGTTTTTAAAAAAAAAAAAAAAATGATGTACTATGCTATTATTTATTTTGTTTTAAGCCTTTTGTAGCAAAGATTGTTTTTTTTTTCCTATAGTCCATATCACCTGTCATTACAGTGGACTATCTAAATTTCCTTCTCTAGAGCTTTATCTCATATGGCTAGTGCTGTTACCTGAGTTATTGGAGATTTGTCAGAATGGAGTTTGATACACCGGAACGGCTTTTCAGTCTGTGCATTCGGTGGACACCATGGTACTTAATATCCAACAATTGATATTGATACAATCAACAAAACCCCATCAATTTGAGAAAAGTTAACTTAAATGTTACCAAAATTTGGGTTAATATCCCTAGGTGATTTTTAAAGGTTTTAATTACTTGTAAAAAGTGGAGAAATTTTGAATTAATGTAGCTCCAGAGATTGGTGTTTGAATGAACTTCATTTGAATGTAATCACATTTACTGCTAATTATTGGGGGAAGAATCCATGTTCTGCCATTCTGAGGGCTCTGAATGAAGATTCTGTAAGCCCACTCATGTTAATAGCTCATCTTTTTTACCAGTACTTGACACTTGGTGAGCAGGAAAAACACTTGATGGTTTTTGGTGTTCTCTCAATCTTTAGTTACTTTAATTCCTTTTGTTTTCCTTTTTCCAAGAGTATGCTATATATGTTGCTGCCCCTTCCATCAGGGGGTGGTAATAAACAGCACTGGTGAGATCTTATGTTTATTATCATACACAAATTCTGTTGGTTTCTGTTTCTGAGTTATTTGTTGTTTTTTCTTTATTTTTTCTCCTTCCCCCTCATTTGCTCATGTCTTGGTTGGCGTTTGGTGGTGTATAACCGTGATTGCGTTACCTTAGCAATAACAATTGGTCGTCTTGGTTACGTTTGTCCTCAAGAGGTGGCCCCCATGCTACAGCAGTTTATAAGACCCTGGTGTGTATTATTCAATCTTTTTTTTTAATTCATTTTTCTTCACTCTTTCTTTCTCTATCTCACTTTTAGATATATTTTCAGTTGGTTACAAAAATCACAATCCTTAATCATTGCCAACCATGTGACTAATCTTGTCCTATCAGGTTTGTGAGGTTTTTCAGTAGCATCGTCATGTATATTTATTTTATGTTGTGGCTAACGACTAATTGATGCATGGGATAAGATTGTCACATGCTTGCTGTGTTTAAAAGCTTGATTATACATAAAAGCATTTAAATATCCACCAGAAAAATTAAGATGCATGCAAATTTTATAAATTTAGGTTCTTGCATTATGTTTCTTTTTTAGAATTAATTTGGAAACTTGGATTGCATTAAATACACGTTTAAATTTGCTACATACAAAATCTTATTTGCTTGTTAATGTCAGAGTTAAACATCTACACCATAAGTGTATAGTAATAGTTTATATTGTGACAGTATAGCCTGTGTTCTGCTTCTTTCAATTGATAATCTTTTAACTCAAGTCATTTTCAGTAGTGTTTAATGGAATACAAGTCATAAAAAAATTTAAAAAATAATTTGGTAATATACTCTTTGTCTCAGGCTGATTAATAGATTAAGAAAAACCAGTTGTCTATTTTTATAGATTCAGTCTATTAAGAAAATGTGAATTTCACTGTTAATACTATTGAGATAAGATGGGTCAGACATGAGAAATGAAAGTCAAGCTTCCTGAAAACATAGTATAATCATTATCTCTATTGTGGTGCCTATTCCATTAAATACTGTCTATTAGCATTGTGTTGAACCTGCTTTTTACTTTAAATACTAAACTCAGTTCTGTAATTCAATAGGTGTACCTCTCTGAGAAACATAAGAGACAATGAAGAGAAAGATTCAGCATTCCGTGGGATTTGTACCATGATCAGTGTGAATCCTAGTGGCGTAATCCAAGTAAGATGTTCACGGGGGTTTGTTCTCAGTATTCTGTGTACTACATAAGAGATTTTTAAAGGAAAAATATTTTAAGGCTTTAATTCCATTTGTTTATTGTGCGTGGACAAACACATGCCATGGCACATGTGGGGGAGGGAGTCAGAACAACCTGCAGAAATCAGTTCTCTCCCTCCTACAGGTGGGTGCTAGAGACTGACCTCAGCTCTTTAGGGGTGGCAGCACCCCTGCAGTATTTCTCAAGTCTTACTTCACTAAGTAAGATAGTGATAGCAGACTGTTGTCTTCCACTGGACCAGGCCTTTTCATGTATGTTTAGAGTTCATTTATTTACTTTGTACATGCCTCCTGTTTATGGATATCAGTTTAGAGTTTGAACTTTAAAATAGCAAATAAAATAGAGTATTGAGTTATTTTTTTCAAATTGTTTTAAAAACTTGTTATTTATTCATCCTATTTTATTTCCTAAGTTTGTTATCTTTAGACATTTTTTAAATTATAGCTATCATTTTTAATATGTATGGATGTTTTACCTGCATTCTTGTCTGTACACCTTGTGTGTGCTTGGCGCCCTTGGAGGCCAGAAGTCAGTGTCAGATCCCTTGGAACTGGAGTTAAATATGATTATGAGTAGCCATGTGGGTTCTAGGAATCAAACCTGGTTTCTCTGGAAGAACAACCAGTGTGCTCCCTTAACTGCTGAGCCATCTAACTGCAGCCCCTCTTGACATTTAATTATTTAGTGACAGGTTTTATATATGGGAGTTCAATAAAAATTTTCCAGCTGCCAGTTTTCCAGACATAACACAGAAAAAAAAAACCCATTGAATTCTATACCACATGCTCAAAATACAAATACAGAACACATGTATGGAACCCTAAATTAAATACTCAGCATTCATTTGTTCCGTTGATTGGTTGGGGTTTTTGTTAGTTGGTCCTCTCTCCAGACCCTGGTCGGTTCTCACTGTGTATCGCCTGTGGGTGCTGAGATCTGAATTGAGGTCGTCTGCAGAAGCAACCAGTGCTCCTAACTGCTGGGCCATCTCTTTAGCCATGTATTTAAGGTTTTGTTTACTATCTCAAGATGGTTGTTAAATTTAATCCCCTTCGTCTATTTCAAGCTAGCATGTGGTATAAATTCAGGTTGATTCAGGTTGTTTACAATCTAGCTAGAACTGCCTTATTTTATTGTTGACTTTATCTGGTACTTTCAGACCATTTCTAATGCTAAATATTTCCAAGACTGGTTTGCTTTTGTTTTGTAAATTACAATTTGATATAAGTTACTAGGAGGTAATGAGTTCTAATACCTTAGTGGTCCTAGTTGACTTTAAATATTGGGGTTTTAGTTAAGTATCGCGACGAGCTCTTAAATTTGCAGATGTGTTTTACTGAATTCAGTAAAAAGAGTAGCAACATAAAATGCCTCTTGCTTGTTACAGGATTTTATATTTTTTTGTGATGCCGTTGCATCGTGGATTAACCCAAAAGATGATCTCAGAGACATGTTCTGTAAGGTAACTAATCAGCATTTATGACTGTTAATGCCTAGTTGAAACACTGGAGTTCCTCTTTATTTTAAATTCAGCTTCTTCAGAGCTGTATTGTGATCTCAACTCTTAGCAGAGAACCTGGCTTGATCTTAAGATCTAGAACTGGCTCGGGACAGTATTCTCCTAGTTAATAACACTGACTCATGTTGTCTTGTTATTGCAATTGTAGAAAATGGCTTGAAGTTCTCAAGATGAACTATCTTGAACAGAGTAAACCTTCACCAGTGCCCTTCACAGGGATTGAGCCTGTGTTGCTTTGTTAGTACTCCCTTCTGATGATCTGTGGTCTGTACTCGGCTGTAACAGAGGGAGAAATATAATATGCTTGAATCACTTGAAATTAGTGACTATATTTGCATTCAAAAGCCCAAAGCTTATATATTTATTTCTAAGTTGAAATAACCCAACATTCTTTAAAAAGAAAGAAAGAAAGAAAAAAAAAAGTTACCCAGTAGATAGGTTTTATGTTGTTTGGTTTTTACTTTTTTGGTTTTCTTTTTTTTTTTTTCAATTTAATATCAGAGATTTCTCAATATTATTTAGCAACATCATGTTGGTAAAGACATTTCCTGAATTTTAAATGTAAGGCATAGAGGGTAGTTTTGGTCATTCGTGGGGCCTAGAACTTAACTTACAACGTTTGAGATTTACTACTTTGAAATGGAAATCATAATTAAAATCAATAATGCTTGATTTCTGAAGATAAACAGATCTGAGTTTTTGTCTTTGTTCATAAGGTAATAGTCTTTCACTCTTTGCAGATCCTTCATGGATTTAAAAACCAAGTCGGGGATGAAAATTGGAGGCGATTCTCTGACCAGTTTCCTCTTCCCTTAAAAGAGCGTCTTGCAGCTTTCTATGGTGTTTAATCTAATACACTTAAGCTGCGTCCCAGAATTAGGGGTAAGTTACAAACTTTGGAAATTTTTAGAGTGAAAGTATTTAATGAATACGCCAGTCAAATAATGTCGTGTTGTCCCTCCATCTCCCCCATCCTCCAGGAGTCTTAGATAAGCAGAAATCCTGGTTGATGCACTGGTTTGACTCTATACATTATTTCATCCCTTTCTTGTTCTGTCTCCCTGCATGGGCGGCATTCTCAGTGGGTTCAGTTTTGAAGCCGTACCTTATAATCGTAGATGGAAGCAAGGACAAGAAACTTTGTGTGTTGTGACCTTTAAGGAAACAAATTTAGAAAATTCTGGAAGTAGATGACATTTAACACTCGTTTGTTAATCACTTAGCAGCTACCCAGAATTCTTTCAAAGTTGTTCACGAATTGGTCTCTTGGTTTGAGGAAATAGAGGGCCAAGTACTTGGGCCTCTTGGTAGTCTCTGTTCTCAGTTTGAGATAAACAGCTGTGCTCGCTAAGCTCTAGTTATGCTGAGGAGTAACAGTGTGGTATATAGTACGAGAACTTGGTGTGCTTGCCTTACCTACAAAGTTGACTTACTCTTTGGGGTTTTTTTTTTTTTGTTTTGTTTTGTTTTTTTGTTTTTCAAGACAGGGTTTCTCTGTGGTTTTGGAGCCTGTCCTGGAACTAGTTCTTGTAGACCAGGCTGGTCTCAAATTCCCAGAGATCCGCCTGCCTCTGCCTCCCGAGTGCTGGGATTAAAGGGGTGTGCCACCACCGCCCGGCTGACTTACTCTTTGGATAGTATAGTGAGCTAGTAAAAATTCTCCAGGTTTTGAACATGAGACTTACCTATCTGACTGGAAACCAGCATAGGACACGCTAAATGTGTAAAGTGTGTACTATACCAGATTGAAGTACCCTTTACATTACAAGGGTTTGGGGGTTGTTTCATTTTTTTGCTAGCCGCTCGTTTAATCTGAGCATGAAAGATTTCATTATCCAAGTTTCCTAACCTAGAAGAGAGTAGAAATGAGTTTATATAGCCTCAGGCTGACTAGACACTCTGTGAATTGTTCACTTTAGTTATGAATCCTCGGCTTCAGCATTTTGAAGTGTTTTATTTTTCTTAGGTCGTGAGAATGCAATAAAGGGGAATTACTTAGCTTTAAAGATTCCACATCGAGCTAGTGAGTCTTAAGTAGTTTGTCATTCTTTAAATTGGTCAGTACCTTTTATTCTTGCTTCTTTATGCTTGCATGCAGAAGCAGGAGAAAGCAGTTGATCATACTTCACTGATGGGTCCGTTAACCTCTGAATTCATACGAACAGTTAGAAGTGACCAGAGTGTGGCCTGAGTGGTTTGTAGTATTTTTGTAAAAGGACCACATATCAGACATTGGTTTATGTATTCTAGTAATCTTACTTAAATTTCTTATGTAACAATTTTAAAAAGTCTACATCAGCAAAAATGAAATTGCCTAAGAGTATACGAAATAACCAATAGGGTTGAAAGGATGACGAATTACAAACATCACAAAAATGGGTGTGTTAGACTGGAGAGATGGCTCAGTGGTTAAAGAGCACTAGCTGCTTAGAGGTTCTGAGTTCAATTCCCAGCACCCACATGGAAGTTCATAGCTGTCTGTAATGGGATCTGATAACCAATTCTGGCATAAAGCTGTACATCAGATAGAGCAACTCATATACACAATAATTTTTTTCCCCCCCAGGATTTTTGTTTTGTTTTGTTAGGCTTTTTGAGGCAGGGTATCTCTAGCTTTGGAACCTGTCCTAGAACTCAGTATAGATCAGGCTGGCCTTGGATTCACAGAGATCCTCTTGCGTCTGCCTCCTGAGTGCTAGGATTATAGGCGAGTGCCACTACTGTACATGTTAAAAGAAATAAATCTTTTTTTTTAAGATGATGGTGGTATTAAATCATATTTTTGAATATTATTGAATGTTCTGATCCCAGTAGGGTAAAATTAGAATTTATTTTCTTAGACATCGGATATTGTGATTTCATTTTATGAAAGTAAAGTGACATTATGCAGGAAATGTTCAGTTTGCGTGACACCCATTCTGCTAAAAGAAGTAAAGATAAATAACATGCAAAGCAGAATTTATCATATGAAGCACTATATACTGTATGTCCCCAGTGTTTGTTCACTTTCATATTTAATGCAGGTAACTAACTTGTTCAGTCTCACAAGAACATGGCATGCATGATCTTGGGCAATTTGTCGAATTTCCTAATTTCTTTATAGGTAAAGGTAGAAATGTTCTTTGACTGGTTTTGTGCTTCATTGGCTCTGAAAGAGAGGCAGGTATTAAAGATAAAATTGGTTTTGTTTTTTGCAGGTCCATCAGTCTTGGAGACTATAAGGGAGCCTCTGCACCCAGGGAAAATGTTACCCTTTACAGGGGGGAAGGGTAAACCAGTAGGGAATACAGTACAATCCCAACCCTACTGGGAGGGGCGGGAGGGAGGTGTTGCCGTCACTGTATTAAGTCGATGTTGGGAAATGTTTTAACATCTGGAGCCTTTGTGGGTGGAAATCTGTCTCCAATTACAACTCTGCACTGGATGTGAAGAAGCAAAAACTATTCAGTCTACTCACAGAACAGTACTTGCTGGAATATTATGGGGAATTGTACCAAAACAAGAACCACATAAACAATGCGTAGGGATAAGAAGGAGGAAAATCCCGTGGTCCACAACAAAGGAAACCTAAGAGTGGGAAGCTACAACAGTAAGGAAGCTTTTTTCATTAAAGGTTTTTATATAAATTTTCCCACGTTACGGGGCCTTGTTTTGCATGCTGATGAAGAACTACACAAAACTAATAGTTAAAATCAGCTTGCCTCCCCTAGTAGAAGCAGGTTCTTGGAAGTTACAATTTAAGGTACCCCCAAAAAGTTGGAAATAAAACAAAACAAATTTGAACAATGAAGCACCCTGTGAGATGCCAACGAGTCACTCCTTTTACCTTTGCGGGCTGGGCAGGGAGGGAGGAATAAATGGGGTCGGGGTATCAGACTAAAGGTGACATCTAATTTTACATTAAAACGTTAGTGGATATGATTTCATGGTTGTACTTCTTAGATTTAATTTCTAGGCCAACACGTTATCTTAAGGTGCAGTTTAAGGTTCAGGCATGCGCTCTGGCTCATAGTGATTGAAAGTGATGTAAATTAGTGGGACCGTAGCATGCTTGCATCACATAGAGTGCAGTTGGTATCCATTTACCTATGTTGCGCCAGTTTGGGTTGCAGTTTACCAGTTCAATAGCCCTGCATTAAAATTACTTTAAGATTTGTGGATTTTATTTTTATTAAGAATATAGATATATAAAGTACTGTAGTTTACAGCTAGGCCTTGAAATATCTTTTTAGGATCTGTTAGGAATAAGATTGATATTGTATTGTGTGTAACCTGCACAATGTGGAAAGCTGATATACCTGTGCAAAATCTCTGCCTCTGTGCTGTCAGTGTGATGTGCTTTCTGCATGGTTATATACTACTAGTGATTTTATCAAATTTCAAATTACATGGTAAAAGATCTATAAAAGGCTGCATAAATATTAGTTGGCACATAAAGACATAAAGACAATTGTAGAAGTTGAAACAGGATTGCTATATTTCAATGTTTATTCCCACTCAACATATTGCCTCTAAGCTTTCCTTTTTTTATTTTATTTTATTTTATTTTTTTGTTCAAAGCATGATCTTAAAGATACGTTTAAGTTAATGGATGTAATGCAGGGTTCCTACACTGTATTGGCGCATGTTGGTGGCCCTTTGTGCCCTAAATATATGCACACAGGGTGCAAGTTCAAAGCTACAGAGTGAGAGTTGGTTTGGATCCTCTTCATTTCATTTGTTTGGCTTTTCTGTTATTTTCCCCCTCTACTTACATGTATTCCTGTGAATAAATCCTTGTTAAGTTAACCCTTTACTTTTCCTTCCATGTGTATTTTCTTACATACTGTGAATGTGAAGACCCTAACTGGTACACTTGATCTTATGTCCATATGAAAGTGCGAGTCTTTATTAATTCGGATTGCCTGAGCAGTGTGTATCCCATGATGATGAAGGAAAATGGAGAGTTTTGGGGTTTTTTTTGTTTTGTTTTGTTTTGTTTTTAGCTCTGCTGGTCAGAGATAAAGCCACGCCTTTCCATTTTTCAATGCTGCATATTTAATCTGCAACAAATTGTTAAGCCATAACAGACTTTTTATATTTTAATTTGTCACCTTTGCATTGCAGGATAAATACCGAATAACAGTTTTTAGAAGCAGTTGCTCCTCTTTGCATGGTTCTGTTCTCTAAAAGTGTTGACTGATAAGGCCATTGCACTGAAGTGTGAGCTGTGTGCGTGTGACTTTATAAATGCAGTTTCAAAACATTTCACATGCATGGTAGCATGCAAAAAGGTTTTAGTTGTTGTGTATGTGTTTGTTTTAACATGTTCTTTTACCTTCTTTCCTCCTATTTTGGCTTTGCAAATTTCAGTCTATAGGGCCTGAAATAAAATCATCTAAAATGCCCAATCTTTGTTAATTTCAAGCTAGACTCAAGGGTGTATGGCATTTCCTTTTTAATACAGTTACCCTACAGAGAGCTCAAAAATTTGCTTCTTGGGTTGGCTTTAAAGCTGGAGCAGAATAACTGTTTTATCCTTGGGTTGTATATGCCATGCAGTGCTTCAGATGCTTTCCAGAACTTAACATAGGAGGTTATGGTCTTGGATAAGTAGCAAATAAGCAGCCAGATTCGTCTCTTAACATAATAAAACAAATATAAAAATTTCAATAAAGTTATATGGACCTGTGATTAACAATTCTGTATTAAGTAAAAGCAATATTGTCACCTGTCTGATTAAGAACATGTTTCCAATTTGGCAGTTATGCAGCACAAAAACAAACAATATTTAGTTTTGTAGTAAACAGATTTGTTTCTAAGTTTAATAACTTTATAATAGAAAATTAAGTAAATATGACCGACAACCTAAGATTAGGGGCATTTTCTAATGTAGTTTTCTTGTTGAGGCTATTGTTTCTTCCTAATTATATTTCAGACAACATAGTATAGCACAGGAATTTGCAGAAGCCATGTAACTTTTTTGTTTTTTTGTTTTGTTTTTGTTTTTTGTTTTGGGGGGGGGGGTTTGAGGTAAACGCTGAGTTAGCATATATTGTTTTGATGAACGTAACACATCATGGGATATATAAATATATATATAAAGCAACTTAATTCTTGTGCAGTCTTGATAGCTTTGAATGTTGACTGAATGTCTGTGAGATCGTGCGTTTGTCATGGTTACATTCCAGTGTTTCTGCCTCTTGGCATGCTTAAAGCGCGGCTTCCTCCGCCTGCTCCTTTCACACTAAAATGCTGTTAGTGTGCTCAGCTACAGAGCTAGCCGCTGCTGAGTGATGTAGATTTTCTACTTGAATATTTTTATGTTGTAGGAACCTCAGGAGGTCAGTGTTTACTGTTTTATATATGCCTTCTTTTCCTGTTTGAGCTTCTCTCTTTGAAGGATTCTAACAGAACAAAAGCTGCTGATCAACCTAAGTTGGAAACAGAAAGTGTGTCTAGTAGCGTTTAAGAGCATACGCGGCAGTTCCATGTTACAGCCCATTAGTTAGCAGTGACTTAGTGCCACAGGTGTTCATTTCTTCAGGAAGTAATTTTGCTTTTTGTATTGTCTAATCTCTTTATGACTTCATACTGTGTAAGAAAAATCACTTTTGTATTGTTTGTTGGTTATTTCCAAAATAATCAACTTGTAAATATCCTTAGAGCCAGTTCTGATGCTTACATTATTGCTACTTGATTTTGTTATGCAACTTAGATTTCAGATCTTAAAACACTTAACCAAGCCATTACATCTTAAAACAAAACAAGTAGCATACATTTTGTAATTAACATTGATAAACACTGTGATTTTTTTGGTTAAGACTTTTTCATTGATCTGAATTGCTTAAATTGCATATATTGTAAAATAGAGTCAGATGTATATTTTAAAATAATTTCAACTGACTTTCCTCTTACTGCTTTGTCTACTCAGTTATGAATATTCAGATACAAGTTTTATCTCAGGTGAATATCCTTGTATCATTTTGCTTTGGTGACATGTTTATAAAGAAAGATCATCATACTTAATAGTCTTGGGAGGTTTGTGAGTTGTTTTTGTTGTTGTTGTTTTTTATGTATTTTATTGATAATCTTCCCAGTTAGTCTGGTGTTCCCTCCCTCCATCCCCCAATTGTTCTATCAGACTGGAGCAATACAGAAAGCTCTCCACATTTAGTATGCAGATTTATCTGAAATTGAGTCAAGTTTGGTTCTCCTCTTTTCCAGACTCTCAAAATACAAAAGTGGAACCTTTTCTCCCTTACATAAAATTTTCTGCATAGTTGAGGTGCCGGAATTAAATTATGTATTAAACTCTTGTCTCAATTTAACACCTTTGCAGTGAAGAACATTTTTTGCTTCATATAGTTAATTATATTCATATTGAATGTATTAACAGATGCCAGAGCAAAAGCATTCTTCCCAAGAGAAGAGTGTCGTGCACACCTAAAACCCTGATTCCTTCCTTTGCTAATACTACAGGTGCACACAGATTTGCTTACGGAGTTACTTTTGCAAATATTACAAGGCAGGGAGACACTAATTGTTGCTGCTAGTACTGTTTAATAAAGTGAGTAAGCATTGGAATCTAAAAGGAAAATAGGTTCTTGTGGTTAACAGCCTGGGATAATTGAGAAGGAAAAAGAGCAGTAGCGGCCTGTGTTGGTAACAATATTATCTAGTATCAATACCATACAGTAGCATTGTATATCAACTAGTGAGTGCACTTTGTAGTGTATTAAATATGGCAGTGCTTCTAAGGCCTCTTTCAAGTTAAGTTTCACATGAAAGTTAGTTTCTCTTACCTGTATGCTTTCTGGGTAAGTAGAATCTAGCTAGCTTCAGGCTTGATATAGATCTTCTCCCTGTTGGTATTACGTATATGTAGATAATTCTCAATGCCTAATTATTATACTTATTCAATTGTAAGGTATACGCTTAATTACAGCAACTGCTTTTGTGGTTTGTATCCCAGAGTGTATTGTGTTGAAATAAAAAGATGCATAGCAGCTGAATGTAATGTATGCATGACTTAGAGGGAAGTTAAAGCCGGTTTTCTTTTCCCCACCTCTGTACATTAAAAACTAAGCCAAATCTATTTGCCAATAGTAGATCACTAATTACAAAGCCAGTAGTTTGTCTTTTAGTAGGAGTTTTTGTTTGCCATAAGTCACTCTAACTGTGGCTTGGTATTATGCAGGATTATCTATTTCACAGGTATAGTCATGTTGCTCAATGCCTGCTGTAACGTGGTTAGCCTGTAAGGCAGTGCTGTCCCTCCTGATGTCCACCAGGTTCCACTATATTTTCCTCTTACCTTTTTGTCCCTGCTTTCCTATGTGGATATATAACCAAACTGAACTTCATTGGTTTTTTATGGAGATAATATTAGATAATACTGTGTAATTAATTTTACTCAATAGATTATCATCTTAAGAGATGCTTAAATGTGGTAAATCACTTCATATTATGAAAGTTTTACACTTAATCTTCATGCTAATGTTGGGTGCAATAACTTAGTAGTACTTGCTTAGTTATGAATAACTGGATCTTTCTGCTGACAACTTAGGTTGTATGAGTTATGCTTAAAAGCTTTAAATCTGATGTTTCCTGTACCTGCCACACTATGTTAGAAATGTGTCCTTCAAACATCCTCCTGCAACTTCTCAAACTGTACTCAATTGATATTTCTTGAAGTCTAACTCTGTGCTAACAGATCTTCATTTTAAATAGAATACGGTTTTAATTTTTGATAAGCTGCTGAATTTTAAAGAGAGTTTTTTGGGGCCACCAAATATTTTGGATCATGCAGAGAATATATATTGTACTGTAGTAATTTTGTATTTACATTTGTATGATGTGACATGATAGACGTGAATGTTAATCACTGCTTGACTATGTTAATAAAGTTGTTTAACTATAGATGTTGCACTCTGATTTTTAATGGAAAGAAATTCTTTCTTTGTCTTCCTCCATTTTGTGTCCTAATAGATTTGGTGGGGTTTTGGGGGGTGGGATTAAAGTGTTGTGTGATTTTTATTGTTTTTGGTTTTGTTTTCTCTATCTTACACATTAGTGAGCTATTGTTATCCAAGCAGCCTTTTTTTTTGGATCACGTACTACAGAAACTTTTGCCTACATTTTAACTTAACTACTATTAATGCTTTTCAACTCAAGCTGCAGAGGATAGATGCAATAACTGCTTTGCCAAAGGAAACGAATAGAGGTGACCCTGTGACATAAAGAGCTAATCATAGGGAAGACAGTGTAAAAGTGTCCTGTTGTAGCTCTGCTCCTTCAGAAAACTGAGACTTGTGGTTTTGGAAATTAACACTTTCAAGTCCTTTCCTCTTTAGGCTGTAATCGACAACATAATTACATATTACCAATTAAAATGTAAATATATTGATACATCTAGAGCCTGCCTACATAACTGTAAAGTGCTCTTTTTAACCCAAGTATAGAACATTTTAGAACAAGAAGGGGCCTGAGGTGAGTCATTACAGCCCAGAAACTTACAAAGTGAAGCTTGGGTTTCTTGACTTTTGTTAAAAATATTTGACGGAAGCTGGGCAATGGTGGTGCACGTCTTTAATCCCAGCAATCGGGGAGACAGAGAGAGGTGGATCTCTGTGAGTTTGAGGCCAGCCTAGTCTACAAGAGCTAGTTCCAGGACAGGCTGCAAAGCCTCAGAGAAAGCCTGTCTTGAAAAAAAATTGACGTAACACAATTGTGTTGGCGAGGATGAACTATGCATTGGAACTGAGATACAGTGTTCTCTGAAACACCTGGCAGAAGGAATTCTAGAGTGCAGAG